AGTCTCAGGAATATAGCAGAAATAAAACTCAGTTCTCCAAAGACTGGAGTGGCCCATTTAAACCTACTTGTTGTATGCACCTGCCTAGTGCCTACCTAGGCCTCCCTGTTGTAGCTTTTAGCGGGCATCAAGATCTGTCCCATTCATCCTGACTTGAAGTTATCAGTGTACCTTTTCTGGCTCAGAGTGTAGTGACTTCACATAAATGCATAGTGGGAAAGAATTCTTTCCAACATTTTTAAGCTAGATATTGCAGTTTTCAGTCACTACTCTAGCTGTTGTTTCTGCCCAGATGTCTGCTTTAATGGATCTTTCTCCTATCTCCAGAGTAGAAATAGTGATGGAGGAATTGGACCCAAGATTCAGATGGACTCCTACTTCTCTCGGGTCTTTTTTTAAGTTTTATAAATGGGGTTGCATTGTCATGGCTAGAAGTTAGGATTGAAATTCCTATCTCCTGGTTTGATTTAAGTTTCTCATAGATTGGCAATGTTACAGGTAGAATGTGTATGCTGTAATTTTTCCAGTCTATAGTTTGAATGTTTTGTTATGTTTAAAAAAATAAATACAACAATTTTAGGATCAATTCAACATCTTCAAGTCCCATTAAAAAAGTTTCAGGAGAGGATATGAATAAGAGAGAGTGTAAACCAGACTTCAGCAGTGCGTTTGCAAAGAGTGCTGCTTTACTAATATTATGTACATCAGTAATGTCCACCTAATGTCCTGTCCCCCCAGGGGTTAATTTGTGGTTCCCAGGCTCCCATCTGGCTGCTGCTCCCTGTTATTCTGTCTGCAGCAGCCAGGGTTTCCTGGTTTTCCCCCATCCCTTGTCCAGCTCCACTTCCTGCCCCTGCCCCAGGGGAAAGTGTGGTGTGCATCATGGTACAGATCACAGCCTGGGACCGCAGCACAGTGCAGTGCAGTTGGGGTAACCACAACTTGGGAGCTGATGGTGAGGCTGGTGCACCCACACAGGGCAAAGCTTGGAGCACTGTGGTCTGCATTGGGGCAGGTTGTGAAGCATGTGGCCCCCACTGGTCCCACAGGTGGCCCCTGAATGCTTAGACATAGATCAAAGACTGTTTTGATTTTTATCTAACCAATTATGGAAACCAGCAAAATTCCTATTTATATAACAGAAGTCAGTGAACGTCACTGGCAGTTTCCTACTCAATTATGTTGTATTTCAGGCCACTTGCAAACGGGATCACAGGCTGTCAATGCTGAAGACCCATTGTTTGCATGTACAAAAGAAAAAAGAAAACATGATGAAACAGTTTGAGGAAAATAACAATTGGCTTCATCGTGTGGAAAATGAAATGCGTCTTCTCAGTCAAGATGGTCATATCCCACAGGTAAAAAACTTTGCTTTGAAAGATAATTTTCAGACACTGTAGCCACAAATGTATCTGTATGTTCCAATCAATCTTTCTCTTTAGTTATGGCTACTCCTATAAATAATCCTTTTGTAAAACTTTTCAGCTCTGGATGAGGTACCTTTAGTATCAACTGGCTCAGTTACACAAGTGATAGAACTGTTGAGCCTATAGGGAATGTGCCATGTTTCTTGTCCTCTAAGGAGGATGGAGGTGACTTCATCTTGTACTAAGTGTAAACTGGTGGCCATATTGACACAAAAGCTTTGAGGATTTGGAGGCCCAGGTAACAACCCTGTGTGGCATCAAAAAATGAAGACTTCTTAGACAGGAGTCTTGAATAGTTAATTGCAGATGCAGCATGCCTAAGAATCACAGATGATGATGCTGGAGTAACTAAAGTACAGGAAAAAATTTTGGCCATGTATGACCTCCAGAACATGGAGAACCAGTTAAACATTCAGATAGAAGCTAGGAAATCACTTGAAGCCTCTTAGTACAGCTATAACTGCTTAAAGTGTCTCATATTCTACTGAAGGAGATTAGAAGCTGACCCCATTAGTCAGAAGGCAGAAATTGCATACCCCAAGGGATAGGCAGGATTCCATAACCAACAGAGGAGAAAAGAGGAAATGATGACGTCTGGGGGGGGACTCCTCTTTTTTAGGCTGGTAAAAGCACCTCCATCTGGACCTGGGATCCTAAGAGCCTAAATTTAGAACATGACAAAAATTACTGACAACAGGAATTTGGACTGCTCATCCATGTGTGTACCAGTGATACTGCCAGGTGCAATCCTGAGCAAATCAGAGGAGATTAATGGCTTTGAACAGGAGATTAAAGGAGTTAGGGATATGGATGTCAGTCTTGTTTATCTTCCCTGCTGAAGGTAAAAGGTTAGGCAAGAACCTTCTGATTTTGGAAGTAAACATGGAGTTGTGAAGGAAGTGTTAGCTTAATAGATTTGCCCTCTTTGTCAGTGGGTTGATGTCCCACAAAAGATAATAGCTGTGCAGGCATGAGACCCATCTAATGGAGAGTGAGAAGAATATGGGCACTTTCATAGTTAAGTTGGTGGGGAAGGCTTTTTAATGGGAATTGTAACAGAAGCCAAAATTAGGATCAAGAAATTAAGACTGAGTAAAGGGTTTAATTTTGAAGAAGTTGCAGGAAACCGTAATATGGCTATAAAATGTGTAAGACTAAAAGGAAAAATAATCTGCAACATTTCAATAGCGTGTCTATTTGAATACAACTTATCCAAAACATTCCTTTCCTGAATCCAAGGCAGAGAAACAAATTTAACAAGTGAAGCAACAATTGAAATAATAAGCAAACTTAAAGGCTCATCTGTTTCCAAGTTTGCTTGAGAAAGTGGTGTTCGAATACTTTCACTAGACAAACTATTTGATTTCCTCCCCCACCCCCCAATAGGATTTTGTACCATGTAGATTGAATAATAGCTTGCGTGGGGTGATGGAAGCAGCAATAATGTTATGGTGGGAGTCTGCTTTACAGAGATGACCCGAGTAGGGTGTGGGGCCCAAAGCAAATTAGCCTATGCGGGGCCCTGCCCCCAGACATGAGGAAGCCGGCAGCAGATTCTGGTGTGGGGGAGTGGGGTGGCAAGCTGCTGGGCAGGAAGCTGGCAGCTGTTCAGAGGAGCTGGGCGGAGTGGCCATGGCAACTCAGGGCCCCCCAAAGCACGGGGCCTGGGGCAATTGCCCCAATTTGCCCTCTCCCCCCAGGAACGGCCCTGCTGCTTTAGACCACATCCATCTCCCTTTCCTGAATTTGTAACATTCCCCAAGTAGATGAGAGATTTCTAAAGTATGAGCCAGTAATAGCATTAACTTCCTTGATCTGTTTGGAAGAAACGTATAACAACACAAAATGTTCAACAAATTCTTATTATTGCTCTGTTGAGAAGACTACTAGGGGAGCCATCTATTTTGATTCTGGTTGTGGCCTACAGGGGCAAACTGCTTGCAGATGGGAAGGTGGCTGGAAATTTGGTAAAAAGTAATAATATGGTGTGATAGAATTCTAAAGGCATGTTTCAGCTGACCCTGAGAAATAATAGGTAAGCTTCCTTAGATATACAGACATAAGAAAAAGTATTGAAGGAGACTAGCAGTCCTTAAAAATAAAAACGTAATATTTGAGACTTGATATTGATCCAGTTATTTCAACGCAAAAGAAAATGAAGAAGCAAGTGAAAGAGGAAGGAAAGAAGTGACAGCCACAAACTAGAAAAATTAACATTAAGAAGAAGGGCATCTGTTTATAAATTAGAGAATGTGATGGAGAATTTTGACAAACATTAATGAATAAGTGAGGGGCACCTGATGGAATGTATCCATGGTACTGAAAGAGCTAGCTGGCATTAATATTTCTAGATTATTTGCAAATAATCTTGGAGCTACTGGCGGTAGTATTTGCAAACCTATGGATGACAGGCAAGGTCTCAGAGGACAGGAAAAGAGCTAAAGTAGAGCCAATCTAGGGGAATTATAAACTGGCTGACTTGAGTACCTTGGATGTTAGTAGAACAAGTTGTAGAATATTTAGTTTGTATATATCTGGAAGATGATGGCATGCTCACTGTTAGCCAGCATGGATTTATGAAGGATAAAAGAGAGCAGTGGGTTTGGTAGGTAATAGGGGTGTAGTGGACACAGTATACCTGGACTTTTGACACAATCCCACATGCTTTTGTAATGCCCTCTGCTGGTGAAATGTGTGGTAAATAGAAGTCTCGTGGATGTATAATCAAGCCAATAGTAACTATTAATGGATTCATGTTAGACTGTCAGGGGGTCTCAAAAGGAGTTCCAGAGGAGTTTATGTTGGCTTCAGTGTTGTTTAACATTTAATTAATGATTTGGATGCAGGGACAGAAAGTATACTGGCCACATGTGCAGAGTATGCAAAACTGGAAATGGTGGCACACAGCTTTGAGGATGGGATTAAAATCCAAAATAATCTTAATAAATTGGAGCTTTGGGCTATAGAAAAATGAAATTCAATAAAGACAAATGTAAAGGAAGAAAAACCAAAAGCATAAATACAAAATGGCTGAAGATCTGTCTGTCTGGGAGTTATGTTGCCAGCAGGTATTTGAAAGTTAGCAATATGATGCTTTTGCTTTAAAAAAAAAAAAAATGGAGTTTTGTCAACACAACCAAAAAGCATCGTATTCAAGACATGGGACATGACAGTACTACTCAAAGAGCTTTATCTAGAGCCATGAGTGACTGGTGCCTCCTGAATCTGGGGGGGCACCCGCAGAATCTGCCCCCACCGGCAGCCCTATCGGGGGGAGGGGCACCAACCTCTTCAGGGGGGGCACGTGCGCCCCCTCCCAGTCACCGATGTCTGGAGCACTGTGTCCAGTTCTGAACTCCTTATCTATAAGATAAATACAGAAAATCTGGAAAGGATCCAGAGGTAGTTGGTAAAGAAGATAAAGCAGGAGGAATGCAAGATTTACAGATGTACTGAGATATGAGAAAAGTTTGAAGGAACTAGGGACGTTTAGTTTGGAGAAAAAGAGAGTGGGCATGATGGTATTTTACTTAACTGTGTTCACCCAAATGGAAGATGACTCTGAATTTAAGATGAGCTGCCAATTATTAACTTCTAGATGTGGACATTTTTTCATTTGTTTTTAATTTTCCATGTCTAGATCCTAATTATTGAAAGGTTGTCTTAAATTTATCCCCCCATTCCCACCATTGCAGCAGGAAAAGAATCATGGGGGCAAGTGGCGGGGAAAGCAAGAGCTGAGGGGCAGATGGCTTTTCCCTTGTCCCCAGCTTTAGTAACTGGTTGTACCACCTGTTCCTCCTGCCATTTGCCCACTCTCTAGTGCCTGCCCTTCTTCTCTGTGCCCATTCTGTGGCACCTCCACCCCGCCCCCCCCACCAGTGCTTCCTCCTAGCCACTTGACCCCTCTCTGGTACCTGTCCCCACCTGCTACTTGCACCTCCTTTTGTGCATCTCTTCCCCCACCACTTACCCTGTGCAGCTGCTTTGACTTCCCCCAGGAACCAGAGCACCCAGTCCAGCCAAACCATAGCAAACACTGGCCACAGTAATTAACACCTGAGAATGGGGAGAGAGCAGGCGAGGGAGTACATGGTGTGTGGAGGGAACACAGGGGAAGAGGCACATCGTGCGAGAGGGAGTGCAGTGTGGTAAGAAGTGCAGAGAAGGAGTGCATGGTATAAGGGGGAGTGCAAGGGGGAGTATAGAGGAAGGGGTGCATAGATCAAGGAAGAACATGGAGAGGCAGGGGAGTTGCTGCAGTTCAGTGTGCCTGTTTCCCTTATCCTCCCTTTCCCTCCCCCCACTTCCTTTCCTCCATGACATACCGTCTACTGTGCTGCATGAGTCAACCCTGATCCACAGCTTGTACTCATCCCTAGATGAGTGCTTTTTTTCCCCCAGTGTTTATGGGGATAAAAACTTTTACTTCTGATGACCAGCCAGCAACTTAGTGTTTTAGCCTGCTTGATGAGCACTTCCTTTCTCATCTATCATGAGCTATCTCCTCCTAATCCTGTCCTACATTAAGTACTTTCAGGTCTCTTCTTACATTGTCCATTAAGCATTGGTGAGGCCTACCTCAACAACATTATCCTGTTGGTTGATGCTTATAGATGGTTTTGATGTTTCTTGATTCTTCCATTCTCACCACATGGCTGATGCACATACCACACTTGTAAAGAGGGGCAGTTCTGTGATATTTCGTAGTAATTTGCTGTTGCTTCGCTTCTATTTTCCCCTCACTGGGTCTATCACTAGTCCAGATATTTTCCGGAGAATATAATTTTCAAAATGAGTCAGTTTGTCTTTTACCATCATAGCGTTTAGGGTCAGAAGGGACCCAAACAGATTATCAAGTCCACCCCCCTGCCTGGGGCAGGAACAACTGCTGGGATCATAATACCCCAGCTAGATATCTATCCATATATTTATCTATCATGCACCAAGTCTTACACCCATACATCACCATAGATCTAATACAGTAAAAGCTGAGTTATCCGGCACCTTACAAGCCGGCAAACTCTGTTAACCGGCATGCCAACTTGTAAGGGCTTGTAAGGGAAAAGTGAAACCGGAAGCACCTGCCGTGGTACTTCCGGTTTTGCGGAGACCCCACGGCCTGGGGGAAAGCAGCCTGCATGGGTCCCACCTCCCTGTCCCTCCGGGCCCACAGGGCCCGCAGAAGGGGTGGCGATGCGGCGGGAGGGGCAGCATCCCAGATGCAGCGGGACAGCAGCGGCCCAAACAGGCAGAGATGCCTGTTCGGGCCGCTCAGTTAACCAGCATATTTTGTTATCTGGCACCCTCCATTCCCCGTGGGTGCCGGATAACAAAGCTTTTACTGTAATGGTTCTGTACAAGCACAATTTCTTTCTTCTTGGACATCAAGTGCAATAATACTAAAAGACTCTGTAGAATGTATAAAACTTTAGAATTTACAGCTAAGAGAGTAGGGCTTATATTACCAAAGATATAGAGGTCACTCACAAGAATAAAACTGGAAGAGCAAAACAAGATCTTTTGGGGAAAACAATAGGTTCTAGAGGGTCCTAGAATCCAAGTACCTTGGATTATTGTTGACTGATGGTAATGAGATGAGCAGGGAAAGTATTGCAAATATTCAGTGTGGGAATAAAACAGCCACAGCCCTTAACAGTCTTCTTGTGTGCAAAATACTGTCTAGAAGAATAAAGTTGCAGGCATGATAGTAGTTTTCAAAAACATGAAGAGATGTCATAAATAAATTGTTCTCCTTTGCCACAAATAGCAGGATGCAAGGCAGTTTCGTTTAAACTAAAGCAAAACGGATTTAAATCAAATCTCAGGAAAAACTGAACTTTAGGATGACAATAAAATTAATTGCCAATTAGCATTAATTAATTGCTAATATGGAAGTTTCCAAGGGAAGGTGGAGCATGGCAGACACAGCCCCCATCCACGGCTGCCCCTAGCTGACCCAGGTTCAGGGAGTGTCCCAAAGCTGTTCCTGCCCCCCCCCCCCCCCCCCCCCCAACTACAAGCTGCATCAGAAGGGGTCCCAGGCTCAGCTGGGCACAGCAGCAGCTGTGAGCAAGTTTCTTCTTGCACCTGCTCCCTGCTGCCCCCACACTACCCAGGTGTCCCTTGCTAGCCAAGCTTCTGAATTTCCTTTGTTAGAGGTTCTTAAGAAGTGGCTTGTCTTGATTTGACAACAGGGTATCCTGTGTGTGTAGGGGACCAGACAGCATCATTTTATCATATTTTTAATACAATAGTGAACATGGCTAGGATTTGTTAGCTACTAATAGGAAGTGATTTTTGAGGTATTTGAGCAATGTGCAGGCATACCAGAGTGGGATTTCTTTGCATAGTGAGTCACTAACTTGCTATGTAGGTTTCATATTAAAATCTCATTTCCCTTGATTTTTATGAATAACAATAAAATTAATATTAATAAAATCACAGCTAAGACCATTGTAATGATTCATTATATGAAGAAGGCATATAGAAATATATAATATAGTTTCTATCCTTAAAAGACACAAAGTTACTCCCATTTAAAAACTAGTTGCTATGCATATCTTTCTCAATGGAAAATTACTGAACAGGAAAATGTCAGTGAAATACTAACACTTAAATTTATCTTTAAGATTTTATTGTAATTAAAAATGATTGTTTCTATAATTGTAGATTATATGTATCCTTGCATTTTAATAAGTTTCATGTTCATTTTATCATTTTATTGCATATTTGTACATTTCATGTCTAAATTTCATTTAACTGATTTCTTATGCAACATTTTCTCAAGGAACTTCGTAAAGATCTTCACTACTGCCATTTAAAGCTAGAGGTCAAGGACCTGAAAACACAGATTAACCACATGCTGACTTTAGTATCCCTTCAAGAACAGCATCATAAGCAGACTGAAAAGTAAGTTTGTGTTTGTATCGTGCTTGATGTGTTTCCTCCCTTAAGATTGCCACTTTCGTACCCAATTCAGAGAGTTTCACATGAAAATAATACGATTTTTCTGCAGGTTCATGTGCTCCTTTATGGATCAAAATAATAGGGAAAATATAACTAAGTACATTCACAATGCTGCACATCTAAATTAACTTATAAACGTTTTCTCATCAATAAATTTACTTGGTATTACTAGAATATAAAACTTTTTAAAAATTTGAGCACTTCTGACACTTGGAGTTTTAGATCTAAGTTGTTATTTAATTTAAGCCAACCTATTACTGTAAATCCAGAACTGAGATGTTTAGGGTTAATTCATGTATATGTAGTTTCCCAAGTTTTTTATCTATTGTTTTCCTTTATCACACTAATACGTGATAGCAGACTTGATCATATTGAAAACAAAGGAGTTGAGTAAAGTATATGAAAATCCCAGTTAAAAGTTCAGCTTGTTTCCTAGTAGTAAAGAGCATAAGCCTTTTATAAAAGAGGCAGAGTATAGGGATACAACTTTTACATTCACCATTCATATCATCCCTATTACTCCTAGACCTTATTGCAATTGATTCTGGAAATTTTCTAGCTCTCCTTCTATATAGCCTGCAAAGCTTTGATTCCTCAGTCCCCAGCTGCCACTGTTAAGTAGCACTTAGGAATATTCTACAGAATTTATCTTTGCTATTTTACTGTTTCTTGCCCCACATAGTTTCTACAAAGGGTTCAGTGGGCCTTGCCAACTTAGTTTGTACATCAAATATTTATTGTAAACCTTTTTACTAACTATTATTCCAGTGCCTTAGACTTTTAACTGTTTGTTTTTTGGTTTTTTTTAGATAAAATCTAAATTGTTACTAAATCTCTTATAGCTGGTAGGTTTCAAGAAAGATGAATGTTCTAGCAGTTTTTTCAAAAACTTTTCAGTTTTCAGCATCTTGGATATTGAAACAATAGCTTTCAGAGGATGGTGTGATGGAAGACCTGTGCAATTGCAAACTTGTGCTTATGTTATATAGCAAATGACTATAAATGGCACAATGACTGAAAACAAAGCAATGCAAAGCTGAGACCAGAACCCTTTTCATTAGCTTCAAAATTTATTTATTCACTACTCTGAGTAAAGTTTAACTGCTCTAACAGAGGTAAAGTTTAGATCTGTTCTGATCTCTCTTGGCTTCATACAGCCATTAGAGGGCAAACTGTTCATATGCACTATAAGAGTTACCCTTGGATAGTAGCAATAATTCTGTTTGTTTATCTTCTCCATTCTTGAGATACAGTCTATGCATAAATCTTAAGAGGTTTCATTGGAAAGCTTGAAGCTAGTAGTGTGAAGAGTATTCCAAGTTGGAATGCTATGAGATTAGCTATAGTCAAGGTTTAAATGAGGGTAAATCAGTGACCTGTAACACACACAACTTGATGACCTTCTTTGATTTTTTTCAGGAAAAAAATCCTCTGCCTTCATAGTAAACCTGGTAGTTTGAAGCTAAACTAGTACTGTTAGCCAAAGTATAATAGAGCTAAAATGGCTTTTGATAAACTTGGTTGTCACTGTGAGGCGTTTGCCTCTTCCAGAAAAGAAAAGGATAATATTTAGGTGAGGTCAGATTCTCATTTGGCCTAAATCAGTATAGCAAAATTTAACTTCTATAGAGCTCCACCCATCTACATCAGCTTCTGGCTTTTTCATTAAGTCAGATCACCATGCATGTTTGATAACATAATTTCTCACCTTGGATAATAAAACCATTCCTGACACATCAGGGATACACTAGGAAAGAAAAATGAGTGGTTAGTGGAGGAGAAGAGTGCATAATTGGACAAATGCACAATTCTAACACTCTAATACACAGTTCTAACACTCTAAGAGCAAAGTGACTGCAAAAGCCATGGAATTAGTGCATTCTGTTACTGTGAGTCAATTTTTTGTTGCATCCCTTCCCCCTAGTTCTTTAATTTTTTTTCCATGGTTTCTAATCTTGCATCTGGTTATACTAGTCATTTCTTGTACCCATATTCAATCTGTAAACATCTGTGAGTTTGTTGATCTCCACTTGGGCCCAGGAGTTGGTTTGTGTGCATACAAATAGAGTGCTGGGGTCCTAGATGATAATTGTTTAGTAACAGGGTTCTTGCGATATAAATTAAGTGCTTACTCACTTTATACATAACATCTAAAACGTAATTACAGCACATAGTTATTTTCAATCATGCATTAAATGGAGAAAAGATCAACCCTATTACTGTGTAATCTTTTATTATATACCAAACTGACCAGAACTGACTAAATCTGAACAATAAACAAGAATTATCGTATACATCTAAAATTTTAGGAAAGGAGGCATCTATTAAAATCAGTAGTGAATAATTCTGCACGAGGCTACACTATTCTCAAAAGTTGAATATGTTCCTCAAATTAAACTGGACAATAAATCAAAATGGTTGTTTACATGACTAGCAATGATGATTGCTAGTTAGCAATGGAGGCTGACATTTACTAAAATAACTTCCATTGAAAAGATTTTAAGAATTTTTTTGTTGTTGTTTGTAGAGTACTAAATACTTTGCTTCCAGTCCTAAGACGACAGTACTTGGTTTTAAAAGAAGCAGGATTAGCAAATGATATAATTGAGGCTAACTTCAAGGAGGTTGAACAGGTGATTCAAAGGCCAAAAACAGTAGTGTGGGCTGACCAGACAATGGAAAAAGAACCCAAACAAAATGATCAACCAACAATGTCTGTCATCATCGCATTTCCACAACTCACGAGCAATTCAAATACTCCTTGCCGTAAGTATATAATTGTTTTCTATTGAACATATTTTAAAATGATGCTCAAAATGTTATTGGTCTAGATAGATGATTTTTACTTGTATTTATTCAATTTAAATCTTTTCAAAATTTGAAGTCCATATGTTCAGACTTGAAGAATGACCCATTCCTACCAGATGTCATTTTTACTTTTTTTTGGTGAAGGGGTGTGAGGCATTACTTACTTTCTTATCCTTCCACCTCCAAATGCATAGCTAAATTTAGAGGTGGGGCAGGTAATTCCCTGTCAACATTTTTTTTTAAATCTACTTGTTTGTTTCTGTTAACCGTACTGTCTGGCGAAGTTTCTTTAAGCTTTACTAAAATAATTTATCTCGGAGTGCATTTTTCCAAACTATTCATTTTTACTGATCATGTCAAGTTTTTAGTTTTACAAATTGGCTGCAATCTTATTTCAAATGCATACAAAATATATGAAAAATATTTAAATGTTTAGAAAAATAGCAGGGGGGGTTGCGGGGGTTAAAAATTGATAAATTTGTTCATTACGAAAAAAATCATTGTGAACAAATGTGTGTCCAGTTGACTTTAATGTCCTCTTTTAAAAACAGAAATGTTTAGTGTGTTTGTTACAGCCAATTAGTTCTGTTAAATTTGGGATGTCGTTTTTGTAATTCCGTTTCCTGATGCTGGTCAGCATGTACTTTTTCAATACTCTCTCTCTCCCCCACTCCTTCCCCTCCCCCCCCCCCCCCCCCCCTCCCTGCTCCTACCAGTGGAGCACACCCCCCCCCCCGATTTATAAATATATAACAAAGTATACCTATTTTTGTTTTCTTAAAGTCCTACACTTTTAGAATTTGATTCTGGTCAAGTAAATCAACCTGAATGCTACAGTGTCAGGTCCTTTAGCTCGTAAATAATATGTGTACATGAACCAAAATTATGAGGACATTCAGATAGCCATTCTACTCTCCTTTACACTCTTTGTATAGTGTTTTCAAAACATGCTTTCTCCCCAACACTCAAGTTATCTATTTATTTAAGTCTTCCAAATATTCTCTGTATGTTGGAAAAGAGACACCATCTGTTTTGGCTAAGGTATGATGGGTTTTGCTTTAATACCAGTCTTAATTTTTTTCATCTATGTGCCTCACAGATATTAGGCCATTCCTGTTAGGTCCTGCTTAATCTTTAGCTGCTTCACAAAGCATAGAAGAAATAGCTTTCTCTTTCTGGAAGGCCTATCCTAACATTTTCCTGGAAAGAACTTCTAGTAAAATACATTTTTTGCACTGTTTGGCTGATGAGGAATGTATTCTTCTCTTCTTCAGGGTTGATTAACTGTGTAAATATGTTGCATTTCCCATGTGGGTTGCCCCCAATTTTCTTTCCAGACTCCTGAAGGTTTTAATTCTTCACAGAGAACCAACTTATCTCCCATTAGCCAACTAAGTTGTCAACCTAATTTAAAATAAATGTTCTTCCTCTTGGAAAGGTCCCCATGTTTTAATGGACATTTTCATCTTTCATTCTTAATACTTAGGCACTACATAAATCATTGGGAACTAGGTACTATTCTACAAGGGCTTTAAAAATTGACCTACAAAATATTATGAACTACCTAGGAGTTCAGGTCTACGAACTTGAATCAGATTGACCATAAACAAGAGTGACTTCACAAATTTTTATTGGCCATGCTGAAGAAATCTAAGTAAAATACTTCATGACATTTTGTATATGTATTTTTACTTTTTTTTTTGGAAGGGGTGCTAACAACCCGGGTAAAGAGAAACTCTATGAACAGTATTTTTATTGTAGCTAGTTTACTAATACAGGTTTCCCATGCTTTGTACTGTACATGTGTTCCTGGAAAATGGCACATGAGTTGAATTTGCATAAAGAGAACCCACTTTACAATGTAACAGATAGGGATATGTTCCAAGACCTTGACTGTACTGACCCCCAGACCCATTTCTACTACTTTTACAAGACCATTTTGGTACTCGCCAATAGCAACAGCTGGATGCTTAGAAGCCATAATGGGGATGGCAACTACAGAAACGCATGTCACAGACGAGTGAGGAGCACAGATCCACACAGAAGACTATATTTTGGTGTGCATCACTTCCATAATACACCGCACAAAGCAGCTGACTGTGGGCTTCCACTACACCAATCGCATGAGTGAATTTACCTCGCATATAACACATTTTTGGTATAAAACGGGTCATTGCATACGAGTGAATTCGCACTTACAGCCAATCCTCAGTCTTACAACACAATCGGTTCCTGAAAACCTCATCTTAAGTCAAAATGTTGCAACTCAGAACTGATTTTCCCATAGGAAACAATGTTATAAATGGCGGATTGGTTCCTGAACCAAGGCCTGATACCCTATTTTCACCAAAAATAACCCTGAATTTTGTACTCAATCAATTATAGACGAGTAATACAGCTACATTAATGTATTTATATTGTAAATAACAATCATATTGATTTGGAAGGACTTCTTTGAGGTGACTTTGGATTTTTTGAAGCGTTCTTGGCTGGAGTCTTCTCAGGAGTCTTGGCTACAGGTTTTTCTGGAGTCGTGTCTGCTTTCCTAAAGTGTCCGAGGAAATTTGGACAGATGTTCTCCAGCGAGATAGGTGACGCAACGAACTTGCTCAGTGGCATGGCATCGTGTCGGATCAAGTGTTGTAAAGTCAAAATTAATGTCAGAAAGCTGAAACGGGGTGTCAATTTAGAAACGTTTTAACTCAAAAGGTTGTAAGGCGAGGACTGCCTGTGCAGAACCCTCATAAAGCAAGGGAAACCTGTAATTAGAATGTGTCCATATGACTAGACCTGGTGCGCCTATGCAGTCTGTTTCCTTCTGACACTGAAAAATAGTATTCCAAGTACTTTAAAAACTTCAAGATAAATATTGGAGCAGAATGTTTGGACGGTAGTGGACTGCTTTCAGAATTGACTACACAAACAAGTTGAATTACCTTCTGGCCAAGAAGTGGTTAGTCCAACCTGCACTCCAAAATTCACTAGGATAACTGTTCCCATTTATGTTAATTATTTTGGTTTAGACCAAAATACAGAAGGCTAAAATGATTAGGAATCATTGCAGCTCTTCTTGTAATGGACAAAACCTACTTAAGCTTTGAAGAAACAAAAGCATGAAAAATGTTTCTTTTTGATATTAAAGGGACAACATTGTATCTGTCCTGCTTCAGCCTAATAGCAATGTGTGTTGGGAAGGTGGTTGGGATTTTTGTTTTGAGTTGGGGTCTTTAAAATTTTTGATCAGGCATAATGAGGATGCAGCGTGTGTTTGGAGGAGTCTTCGGCTTTGGTTGTTTGTTTGGGGTTTTTTTGGGGGGAGGGAGGGTCTTTAATTTTAAATAAAGAAAAAGAGTAGTGATTAGGAACCAGTTCTTTTTCCACAAGTCATTCTAAAAGAATGCTCAGCAATTGTTAGCAAGACCTCACCTGACCTAAGATCTTTAGCAAACATAATGACTAAGATCTTTAGCAAACAAATACAAGGGAAGATTTATACAGATCCTCCTTCACCTTTTGGTGCATTGCTTTTCAGTTCATAATCTACTCAAGATGTTGGAAAGGAAATGGGTTTTGCACCAAGACTGCAAAACACTGGCCACCTGTTACACAGAGGTCATTATTCCTTATTCAGAAATCTACATTTCACATACAACATAATTGCATGGACTTTACTTGTCAACAGTTAAGTAATGCAGTTCATTTCTTGGCTCTTGGTCCTTATTTTTTACTTGATAGGTTGAATAAATTTAATTTTAAAATCCACAATATTACATAAATATTTCCTCAAGGGAATGTTTCAGAAGTTTGTTTTTAAATACTTTGGGTTTTGGAGAAATTAATTGGTAGTAATATAGTGTTTCATTCACACTAAATTGAATTATATATACAGCATAATTTAATAAAGTATTATGAGTCTTGGAAGTCTAACAGGAAGGCTGTGCATTAGGTCAGTTTGCTAGCAAATATAATGTATTACTCTTTTTGTAAATATGGATGGAATTCAAAGAATGAAGAAATTGAAAGATAAAAGCATTTTTCTATAGAAATGACAGTATGATAATTGCGTTGTCCTAAGTACTAATACACTACATATTAAGATTCACCAGGGAAATATTTTTTTATCCTTTTGGTATATATCTGTGAAGTTGTTAGTAATTACACTTGTTTCACTGAGTAAAAAGGACGCTAAAGATGTAATCTTCATGAGTTGGCCGTTTAATGAAAATTCAAAGTGTCCCACTAGCGTTCTATAAGCAATTATAGTCATTTTAGAAGTAAAATGGTAATAGCATAGGAAAAAACATCTGTACGCAACGGAAACTGCTGGCTTTTGCACATCATAAAACACCAGGCACTAGTCACTGCAGTGCAGAAGTATTTATTTTTTGTATAATGCTGTTCTGTTGATGACAGTCTCTTTAGGATGTATAATGTGAAACTTTCAAATTAATTTAAGCTAAATAAATAGCTTATTGCCCAATGTATTATTTATAAGAAGATTGGTAATTGTTAACTGATTCAGCAGCATCATTAGATTATAAAATATCTCTGCTGTAGAGCATGGTTAAAGTTAAATAACTAGCCTCTCCTGCAATACGTTCTACATTGTAAGCACAGTCCCTTGAAATCTGAAGTATTTGGAGGGTTTCTGTAAGTGAACAGGGAAAGAATTACATCAGCAGATCCCACTACTTTTCCTTGGGCTACCATGGGATTTTAACTTGGTTCTCCAGTAAATCTTTAAGGAGAGATTCAAAGTGGGCTTTACAGTTTTTGAAAAGAATGGAGAAAACTGAACAAGTGTCAAGGAAGGAAACTGGGTTTCTGAATCCCAGTTTTAGTTGTGGGTCATCCTCCAGAAACTGATTTTGCCAAACTGATGTCAACTGAACATGTTCTGATGCATACATGTCTTTGTGTATCACTTCCTTTGATTTCTCATCTCTCTTAGTGTCTCT